ATTTACCAAGGAAACAATCAAGTGAATCACTGTTCCAAAAATTTCTAAAATAGAAATGGTGGCTTGTAATGGACTTGTAAGAGAATCCACGAACACCCAGATAAAGTCATGTATATATTGGGGAATCACTCATAAATGACAAAGCAAGGTAGAGAACCACCAAGGTTTTCTGCCCTTGGCCAATGGATACTGCCATCTGCCTTCTGACCACCACCCAAGAGAGTGTCAGACGGCTCCCAGTCTACACATAGTCTCTGAGACCCTGCCACAAAGACTATTGGCTGACAGAATTCCCAGAACAGCAGCTGGAACTAAATAGAGTGAGTGGTTTTACTACCTAACAGGAACATAGTAATACTTCAATTAATACAGTATATCTATTAAGTAGAAGGCTTTTCTATATAGGCCAGTAGAATCTGAACACATATGACTGCTAGTTTAATATGATATGGGATAACCAAAGTGACCAATTTTCATGGCCTGATAAGCAGTGTTCAAAATCTCTACCTGTTAGTAAAAATATTTTTCTCTTAGGGATCATATACTTGGTCAGCTTTTTTACATGAGTAATCACAGTCTAAACATAGCCAGAAAGGGGTGCCATAGAGATACACTGTTACATACCTATGTACCTACCTACCTAGTACCACAGTAGAATACAAGACCTGGATTTCTGATGCCATGATCAATATGGTCACTTGTTTGCTATTTGTGCTCTCTGTTTCTGTCTCTGTCTTTTTCTTGTGTGTGTGGTGTTTGCATTATGTGTCCACATTTTTGTTTGGTTATTTTTGGATGTCTTTGGGTGCGTGTGTGTCTGTCTGGGTGTACATGCTTGTGTGTGTTCAGGCATGTGGAGAACTGAGGTTGGTATCATCCTTCACTGTTCTCCACTGAAGCAGGGTCTCTCAATCAAACCTAGAGCCATTGGTAAGGATAGTCCTGTTAGCCAGCTTAACTCGGGGACTGAGGAGCCACCTCCAAGGCTGGAATTACATGCAAACCACTATGCCCACTTAGTGTTGCATGGCTTCTGGGGATCAGAACTCTAGATCTCAGGCTTGTACTGCATGCACTTTAACTACTGAACCAGCTCCCCAGCCCCAAAATTATTTTTGAAAAATTCTACAGCCAGCTTCATGTGCATAGCCCACTTAAAACATTTGTAGTATAATTTAATATGGCTGAAAAATCATCTGTATAAAAGAAGTATTAAAAAATACTGCCTTCTAACTTATAATCAGCTATAACCAAAACACTAAAAAGACTATATATAGTCCAAGTAAAGGCAATTTTCTTGGTTATGGTAAGAAGGCTGTGTAGAATTAACTGCTATGTCTATGCATTACTATGTTCTGAGTTCACCAGTAGAGAATACAAAAAGAAATCAGTATTGTTTCGTTTTTTTTTAAACCACCAGAATACAAAATAATAAAAAGACAATTTACCCCACATCTGACAGAGGGCTGATCTCCAAAATATACAAAGAACTCAAGAAGCTAGTCTCCAAAACACCAAACAATCCAATTAAAAAGTGGGGTACAGAACTAAATAGACAGTTTTCAATAGAGGAATCAAAAATGGCTGAAAGACACATAAGAAAGTGTTCAACATCCTTAGCCATCAGGGAAATGCAAATCAAAACAACTCTGAGATACCACCTTATTCCTGTCAGAATGGCCAAAATCAAAAACACCAATGACAGTTTATGCTGGAGAGGATGTAGAGAAAGGGGAACACTTCTCCACTGCTGGTCGGAGTACCAACTTGTACATCAACTTTGGAAATCAGTATGGTGACTCCTCAAGAAAATGGGAATCAGTCTACCACAAGATCCAGCAATTCCACTCTTAGGCAGATACCCAAAAGGAGCACATTCATACAACAAGGACATCTCTTCAACGATGTTCATAGCAGCACTATTTGTAATAGTTTAGATGGCCCTCAACTGAAAAATGGATAGAGAAAATGTGGTACATTTACGCAATTGAGTACTACTCAGAGGGGAAAAAACAAAACAAAACAAAACAAAACAAAACAAAAACAAAAACAATGGAATCTTGAAATCTACAGGAAATTGGATGGAACTAGAAGAAACCATTCGGAGCCAGGTAACCCAATCACAAAAAGACAAACATGGTATGTACTCACTCATATGTGGATTTTAGACATAAAGGATGACACCTACAATCTACACTGCCAGAGAAGCTAGTAAACAAGGAGGACCCTAAGAGAGACATACATACATGGTCCCCTGGAAAAGGGAAAAGGGACAAGATCTCCTGAGCAAATTGGGAGTACAGGAGGAGGGGGGAGGGAACTAGGAGAATGAGAAGGGGAGAAGAGAAAGGATGCGGAGAACATGAGGGAGCAGAAAGTTTGAGTTGGGGAAAGAATTTGAGTTGGGGAAAGAACAGAAGAAAACAAGAATGGAGATACCATAATAGAGGGAGACATTTTAGGTTTACAGAGAAATCAGGCACTAGGGAAATGTCTGGAGATCTACAAAGATGACACCAGCTAACAACCTAAACAACAGAGGAGAGGCTACCTTAAATGCTCTCCCCTGATAATGAGATTGATGACTGACTTATATACTACCTGATAGCCCTCATTCAGCAGCTGGTGCAAGTAGAAGCAGACACCCACAACAAATCACTGAACTGAACTGGAATCCAGTTGCAGAGAAGGATGAATGAAGAGCACAGAGGTCCAGACCAGGCTGATGAAACCCACAGAAACAGGTGACCTGAAAATCGGGGAACTCTTGCTCCCCAGACTGATAGCTGGGATACCAGCATGGGACTGATCCAGAGCCCAGGAACCTGGGTTTTTGTGAGGAAACCTCGGAAATCTATGAGACATCCTGTAGTAGTTCAGTACTTATCCCTAGCATAGGTATGGAGTTTGGGAGCCCATTCCACATAGAGGAATACTCCCTGAGCCAAGACACACAGGGGTGGGCCTAGGCCCTATCCCAAAGGATATGACAGACTCTGATGACCCCCTATGGAAGGTCTCACCTTCCAGGGGAGCAAAGAGGATATGTGATAGGTAGAGTTTTAGTTGGGGGTGGGGGTTGTAGGGGAGGACTGGAGGAAGAAGGAACTGGGATTGACATGTAAAACAATCTTGTTTCTAATTCAAATAAAAATCTCTGCAAAAAATAAAATAAAATGACAATTTATTGTAGTATATAGTTTTTGTTCTTTTTCTATTCTGTAGTTTTGACTATTTGTTTTCTTTTTGGTGATGCTGAGAATTGAATCCAAGGCTTGGCACACTCTCAGCAATTGTCCCACCACTGAATTATATCATTATCACATTAAATTTTTTTTGTCTGTGTATGGGTATGTAATATTTGTGTGTATGTGTACACATATTGGTGTGACCAAGTGTAGGCACACATGTGCCATGGTGCACATGTGAAGGTAAGAGGACAAAAGCTACAACAGGTCCTCACCTCTGCCTTTTTGCCCCAAATCCCTTGTTCACTGCTATGTTTATCAGGCTAGCTGGTCAGTGAGCTTCCCAGGTTTTTTCTGTCTCTGCCTCCCATATCCTCTGCAGAATGATGGATTACAGTTATGTGCATCATCATGCCTAGTTCTTACATAGGTTCTGGGATTTGAATTCAGGTACTCATACTTTACCCACTGATTCATCTCCCCAGATTCGAAGGCTTTGTATATCTTGGATTTCCTATGCTGTCTTCATTGAGTGAGAAAAAGATGGTTAATTTTTTATAATTATTTCTCTGTAAATTTTCTTCATGAAATTAAGTGACCGTGAGTCAGAGATAAAGTACACTTTAAAATAATGTGAGCTGATTCTTTAACCAACGACATATGTGCACAAAGACGAGAGATATCTGTACTGTGGGTTTTGTGGCAATCCCTTAACCTTGTGATTCATTAACCGAGAGCAAAGTAAGTCTATGAAAATAAGTATCCAGATAATTAACTAACTAATGTTACTAATGTTTCCAACATTACAATGGATCATTGAAAGTAGAAGCTATTTCACTAAAATGCATCTACATAAAATGATAGACATATAGGAAAATTATTAGTGAATAGTATCACCTAAGACTGATAATTCAGTATATTCTGCCATTTTACCTAAACATACTTTTATTTATTTTGTTGTTGTTGTTGTTGTTTTCGAGACAGGGTTTCTCTGTGGCTTTCAAGGCTGTCCTGGAACTAGCTCTTGTAGACCAGGCTGGTCTCGAACTCACAGAGATCCCCCTGCCTCTGCCTCCCAAGTGCTGGGATTAAAGGCGTGTGCCACCAATGCCTGGCTCTAAGCATACTTTTAGTTCCACTTCCATCATACTACACTTCATACAATGGAGGTATACGATGAAACTTCCATTTTGGATTCTGTACCATACAATTTTCTCATGGCAAAATCATTATGAAAATGCATTCATATCTTTATGGTTGCCATATATCTTTATGTTTCTATATGTATTATCCTATCAAAACTATACATTTAGGTGAGTGTTATACATTACAATAAAAACACTTGACTGTTTTCCAGTCAAAGAGATCTCAATTAGCACCTGGCTCTTCCTAATCATTCCATAGCTTTAAACAAATCTGATTCTCTGAGTTACTCTGTGACTACAGAGAAGACTTAATTAAATCCTATGCAAAATGTGGAGCACATTGTCTGCTATATAGTACTCAACATACTACAGCCATTACTAAAACTTCAATATTATTTCTTAGATGCCCCAAAATAAAACTGTTCACTCACTCACTCTCTCTCTCTCTCTCACACACACATACAACTCTTTAAGGATTTTAATGAATACCAACTATATTTTTCTGAAATAGTTATACTGAGATTTCTCAATAGCAACACTGAATTATCTCCTTACCAGCAATATGCCAACAGAAACAAATGAACTTAGAAAAAATATTAAGGGCAAACAAAAAACATTGATACAATTTAAATATACAACACCAACAATACATTCAACATAGACTTACCCTGCCTGAGGGGCTGCTATTGCTTTATGAGAAGGAGATAAGGTCTGAAGTTTGTTTCCCAAAGAACTGTTAATTGAAGATGCTTTACCCGAAGGCACACCTTATAATAAAAAAGGTATTAGTTTTAAGAATAGTCTGAAAGAAAAGTCATACAAAACATAGCCTCTAAGGAGGAAAACAGTTCCTTATCAATACTCTTTGTGCCTATAGTTATTTATAAATAATTCACAACTACCAATGAGGAATATGTTCGGAGTTCATGTTTATCTCATCACTGACACATAAAAACCATCCCACTTTAGGGTTATCTTCTTTAAGCCAGTCATTCTTGTCTCACGGGAACAGCTGTCAAGTTCAGGTATAAGAAATATGTGGCCTTTCAAGAAATCAAGAAAAGAACTTAGTTGCAGAAGCTACTCAATGATATTTCAGTTTTACCCAGAAAGAACTACTAGCCTAATTTCTTATAATTCTTTTTAATAATCTAGAACAGGCCACTATTATCACTTCCTTATCAACTATCATGGTTGTCTTTTGTTTGTTTGTTTTAGTTTGCCATATGGATCTCATTACCTACAACAGTTTTGCTAGTAGTACTTGGTTGTGGTAGTCGGGAAGATCCTGATGATGTAGTTCCAGGAGAACTGGATTTTTTAAGCGGAGATGGCTTATACTGAAATAGTGAAAATTAAAAAATGAATTCAACATCATTTTGTTATTAGGGAATACAAACTGTAATTCAACACCTCAGAAGGCCTAAGACAGATTTTTGTTTTATAGGAATAGGCTATAGATAGATGGCGATGACAGTAATGCAGCATTCGGAATAAATTTAGTAACACTGAGTACACACTGAAAACTGGGTAAGCCAAATGTTCACATTTATATAATGAAGTATCCTAATACAGAAATCAAAACAAGTTTATTTTTGATAAAAATGTTTCAATAGATCAACTCTTTTACAAAAACTGTAAATGCCTCAGGTAACTACAAAAAATATTTACAATTATATGAAAACCATTTTAAAAGCACTGAATTTTCGATTAGTTGAGAAGAAACTGCCATTTCAACCCCATCTGAGATTGTGCCAAATACCTACCAGCACACAGATCAGATGTATAAAGTTAGTCAGCCAAACTGACACCAATTAATTTAATTTGAAATGTTTCCAGAAAGACAGTGTCAAAGAGGGAGAAAAGCAACAAAAACAAAGCCTGACTTTTTATTTAGCAAAAAAGATAAAGTAGCAGAATAATGCACACGTGTTTGTGTATATGAAAGAAACTGAAGGCAGAAGAATGAAAAACCTAAAACAATTTACAAAGAATAATTATATTTCATGTATATGTCCAAACAAAAAGAAAAAGAAAGAAAAAAAAAGTAGTCTGGCAAAAACACATATTGAAGTTTAAGAAAAGAAAGAAAATATGTGAGCAAAACTAAGAATCATAAGTTGAAATGACAAATTTTCTTATGAGATAAAATATACTTCAGAAAAAACACCAGGAAAAAGATAAATTAAGGGACCAATAAATAGGGCATTGTATATTATGAATTACAATTGCACATACTACTACAATCTAAGAAATTTTCCAAGGATGCGATACACAGGAGGCAAAATTAATATGAGAAATAGAAAATACTATATAATCAAAGCTAAAGATTTTAACAAATCACCTAAAATTGATGTGAAAATCAAAAGTAAGAATCAGTCAGTTCAGCCTGGCATTTATACATCTCAACACACAACTGTAGAACAAATATTTTATTCCCAATGCCATGTAGCATATACCCTAAGACCACATACAGGGTAACAGAATACATTTTAATAGCATAAAAACTTTGGAAATACATTCTTGAACTAAAGCAGAATTTAAGATAAACAAATTGTATCTAGAATATTATAATTATCTGCCAATAAAAGATTTACTTGAACTATGAGTAAAAAGATAAAAATTAGAATATATTTTAAACTGGATAAAAAAGATTTATAAAATGCAATTATAGCAATACTAGAGAAAGGAATGAGTCCCTACTGAACAAAATACCTTTCAGATAAATTAATTTGTTCTATTTTTTTCTCAAGTAGTCATTCAAATTTTGTATTCAAAGCCCTTAGCAATAACACATCCATTTTAGATGATGGGAAAACTGTATTGTTATGGATCATAAATATAAAACTATGACTCTGAAAGAGGTACTTTCTCACTAATTTGTAGACATAATTTAAATCGTGCATTTCACCTGTGGCCGAGAAGCCTGCTTTCCTTTGGACTCAGTAGAGAATTTGCCCTTATTACTAATACGAGCTGCTTGTTCTTTACAAAAGTTTATATGTCTATCTGCTGCATTTTCATTGAATCTCCTCTGGCAATACGGACACTGAATGTAATCTAAAGCACATCAAAGGAGAAAGAAGTTAGTAACAGACCACATGTGATGGACAATAAATATTTTTATGATTAGTTCATGATGAATAAATAATATAAATAATGACATTTGATAGTCATGCTCCCATTCCCATACAGTATCCAACCAGGCTAACCTAAACTTGTTAAAGATATGTAAGAAAAAGTCCAAAAACTGATTCTATTTCCTGCATTTGAATCAGTCTGAGGAAAATTAAAGAAAAAAAAAGAATAAAAATTAAAGTCTCAGCAGAAAAGAAGTAGTAAAAGGAAAGTATTATTTGCTTTCATCATGGACATAAACTTTATATGGCACCTGAACAGTAAAAAAACACATTAAAATATAAATTCATGTACAGATTAAAGTAAAAAATATTTTTGAAGAAATCAAGACTGCCAAGAAATTTATTTTGTAAAAAAAAAGGACCCAAGAAAAGGAAGAAGTAAGTTAAAAATCAAGCCTACACTGACATATTTCAAATTTCAGAAAATTTTCCTACTCATTAATGGAACAGTGTAAAACATCTAGCATCAATCTGCATGGCAAGTTCAAACACTGAAAGAATTCCTACAGCCCAGATTAACCCAACGATCTGACACTCCTTTATTACTTACACAGATATGAAAAGCTTGTCTGGAAAGGTCTCTAAAGCGGGGAACTCAACTTCAGGGAACATAATGTGGACTAAGAAGGGTTCTAGGCTTGAATTACCTCAGAAGCTCACAGAATCATCAATATCCCAGGAGTCAGCAAATTACAGCCTGTTAACATAATCTGGTCTGCCTACTGCCCAATTTTGTAAACAAAGATTTTTGTTGTTTTCTTTTTTTTTTTAATATAAATCTACCCATTCATTTACATATTATCTGTGGCTTATAATATGAAAAGGCTAAGTAGTTCTATCAGTAGCCTCAGCCATATTCAATACCTAAAATATTTACAGCTGGGTCTTCTACTGAAATAGATGGGAAATGTGTCCTCTAGCACAAAATGTTTAATTATATCCAGGCTGGATGAGAAACATTCTCTTTGCTGGGAAGAAAACACCAATCTAGAGCACCAGTTCAATTTCAATGTGACTATTTAGGTTAAAATAACTACCTGTTGAGGATGTTCTAATATCCAAGAGCAAACCGTAAATTCTACTACTTTAACTCTATCTCAATAGTTCATGTATTTATTATAATCTTTTTAGTTTGATAATAATTAACATTACAACTTCTAGTTTCCCAGCAGAAACTATAAGCAATATTATTATTTTTAAATCATAATTTAGGTAATCGGTCTATACCACAGGTTCTGGACTAATTATATATTTTAGAAATGTAACTTTATCAGGCAAGATACCAAAGAACCAAGCAACAGAACTATTTGAATCCTAATGAATGTGTAATGAGCATGATTGATTTTCCACATTATTAATATTTTAAATTTATAATTTTAAGACATAAAGCTTATGTTTAAATAAAAGCATCATGATTAAAAAGTAGTGTTTCCATGGGGAAGGGCCTAGGCCTGGCCCAAGATGATGTGGTAGACTTTGGGTAGCCCCTTTTGAGGGCCTTACCTTGCCTGCACAGTGGAGGGGGATGGCTAGGGGCAGGTAGGATGTTGGGAGGAGGGGAGGGAGAGAGAGAAGGGATTGACATCTGAAGCAAGCTTGTTACTAATTTGAACTAATAAAATAAAACAAAATTTTTTTTAAAAAGTAGTGTTTCTATTGCTCTGTAAATATATACCTCTATATCCAGATGCTTGGATTATGACCATTGTTTGACAACAAAGTAAAGAGTATGCATCATTGGACTTCAACATAAAAATTATTTTATACCAACTGAAAAAACAAACTCTATCAACCTTTGCTCACATAAACATGTCTGTCAACAACACTCCACATACCAGGGTCATAAGAAGGCGGAGGAGGGGGAGGAAGTTTGCCACCCTCTTTAAGTGCCTGATCAAGGCCTTTTGCTGCTCTTATGGTGGCAATGAATTCCTCATGCTTTCTTCTCCAATTAGATGGTTTCTTTGGTGGTTCTGGCTAAAAATAAGGAAAAAGCAACATCAAAATATATTTTTAATCAAAATATATTTTTAATAAACTGAAGTACAAGTTCAGACCATATTTTAAATGGTCCCTTGGCAGGAAGCCATCGGTGATTTTTAATCAAATTAAAAATCTGTAATCACACTGTATAGCTTGTAAATAAATAATATTCTACTAAGGCAGATACTGTTAAAGTATCCTCTACAGGTGAACAGCTGGATTTGTTCTCCTACTATTTCTCCTTTTTCAGCCTTTCTACAAGAAAATTTACCGAACTAAAGAGTTTCAATTGGCTTTTAGGAATTCAAGACTGAAAATGCTTTCATCACCTCACTGAGACATTTGTATTTATTCTGTGAATGGTTCACATTCCAGGTTAACTTCTTTCCCCGGCTTTTAGGCTTTTTGGAATAATTCTTCCTAGGTACAGAAGAAACTACTCCTTTTCTCCAATTCCTGTGGATCTATAGGTCCTTTGATATGCAGAATTATTTTAAAACTATTAACTAATTTACTATTTTCCTTTGGGTGTTATTATTGTCTTTTGCTTTGTTTCTTTAACTTTTATTCATTGTGTATTTTATTCATCCTGGTAAATAGTGGGGCATAGAGACTCATGCTGTAGTTTCTATATCCCTCAACTCCGTACTGAACCCCTCCCCAAAACTGAGATAAAACATTCACCATAAACAAAACACGTGAGTGTAAATCTATTCCTGAGTACTCCCATTCATTCCATTGCTTTGACAATCCTTGTTTGAGAACTAGGATTTTAAATACCGAATCCTTATGGCATTATCTGATATTTGACAGGGTACCTTAATTCATGGTCATTTCTCAATCTTTTCCTTATTCTTATATGTGTACTTTCTGTATCATCTTTATAATTGGTTTGTCATTTAAAATAAAAACTAGCTAGAAAAGTGGAACATTTTATTCATCAATAATTTAGGGAAACTAATCTTTATTATGATGAGTTAATCGATATAAGAACATTTTATTTGCCGGGCGTTGGTGGCGCACGCCTTTAATTCCAGCACTCGGGAGGCAGAGGTAAGCAGATCTCTGTGAGTTCGAGACGAGCCTGGTCTACAAGAGCTAGTTCCAGGGCAGCCTCCAAAGCCACAGAGAAACCCTGTCTCAAAAACAAACAAACAAAAAGAACATTTTATTTGTTATTTGTTATCTCAATTAAGTATTCATTTGCATCTTTTAGTATTTCAAGTATTCCTCATAGAAGGCTTGCTCTTTATTGTAAAATGTATGTCTAAATAATCTTATACATTGTGTTGTTCCTCTATATAAGGTTCATCATCACTTAAGAGACAATTAAGTATATCAAACAAAATTTCCCTTTTTTACTTTGTCTTACTGTCCATAGTAATTTCTCAGTTGATTCCCTTAATTTTCTAGGTATTTCATAAACACAGTTTCAAGAAGTCAACCCTGGACACATGTACATCTGACCAATGCTAAATGGGCTCAGTAGGTGGTACATAAATGTATGTGTGTGCATGTAGTGTACATATAATAATTAAAGAAGACATCATGAATGTGGGGGAAGTACATGGGAGGAATTGCTGGGGAGGCAGGGTGAGTCCAGAGTACTGTATATACAGTGCTAATGTATGAAGTTCTCAAACTCACCTATAAAAATTAAAAATAGCATATGCTGCATAGTTCTATAGTTCTTACATGAAGAGATACAAAAAGGAAACCTTTGCCAAGAAATTTGGTAATTAAGATAAAATGGAAAATATCTTTACAAAACAGCAACCAGTAAAAAGTCACAAAACTTACATTTGATTTTAAAAAGTAAATTTATTATTTAAAAATATTCCCATCAAAAATTTCCCAGGTCCATATGCCTATACTACTGAAATCTTTTAAAGTATAACAACAAAACAATATTCCCAAAAGATTTTTTGAGAGTAACAAAAACTGTTAGAAGAAAAATTATAAACTTACTTCACTCATGGATATACATGCAAAAACCCACAGAAACAGTTGGCCTGAAAAAGGGAAAGCATATCGACCCCAGACGCTCTTTGGGAGGTCAGTACGGGACTAATCCAGCCCCCTGATCATGGATGCCAATGGGGAGGCCCCTGCACTCCTGGGAGCCTCCGGAGGTGGACTGGCGTTTTGCCCTGGTATGTGTGTGTGACTTCGAGAGCCCATCCCACTTGAAGGGATGTGCTCTGTCTCTGTACCTATGGGGAGGGGCCTAGGCCCAGCACAGGAAGATTTGGTGGACTTGGTGGAGGCCCGGTTGGGGGCCCTACCCTGCCTGGGGAGTGGTGAGTGGATGGGGTGGGGGGTAGGTTGGAGGTGGGGGAGAAGGAATGGGGGTGAGGGGAGGGAGAAGGAGAGGGAGAGGGGAATTACATGTGAAACAAGCCTGTTCCCTAACTTGAATTAATAATAGTAATAATAATAATAAAAAGAGAAAAAAAACTCACAGTTGTTAAAATAATATATTTAAATAAAATATTTCTTGAAGATTAAAAAAAAAAGACTTTCTTATTTTACAGTTAAATGGAAACTTTTATCTGCCCCACAGTATGGCAAGGTGTGCTGGTCTTTTCGACTGTTTTCGGTACAGACAGATCTTTGTATCAATGCAAGCTAACAACCTTCTTATTATTCATCACTGAATGTATTTGATTTTTCTGGTGTGGCAAACAGACCCATAAATAAAGCTTCACAGATCTGAGAGCTTGTGAGAAAACTCCAAGTAAACAAGAGTCTTGTAGACTTTGTTCCTCTATAACATGGGTTGTTCTTGGAATGTGTTTTAATGTCCCTCCCAGGTGTAATAGGAGTGGGCTTTTCTTTGGTTACCCATCATTTTACCCATTATTATTTTTATTATTTGAATGAGGCTTCCAAGCACACACTGCCCTCCTGACTATATTAAGCCTAAACTCATATGACCATACCCCTATGACTATATACAACCTGAACTAAAATGAAATTTGCTCACATGAGCTGACCTTGCTTAACCTGCAAAATGCCCTCATAATATAAACTGTTTGATGTCCTAAATAAAGTTGACTGTTGCATGAGACTTTAGTCTGCCTCATCTTTAGATCTGTTCTCCAGGTTCACACTGCCAACTAGAGCAGCAATGCTGGTGCAGCTACTTGGAAGAGTTTTGGGGTAAGAAATGCACAAGGAGACTGAGAGACTATAGGACATAACTCTCTTCTTTGGGGAGGAACATACTATTTCTAAATAAGGCTCCATGTGACTGTGAGGACTTGCCTCTTACGTGTCTATGGAAATAAGAAACTATTGCTGCAGTCCTTCCTCCCTGTTCAGACAGCCACTTTTAGAAAGATACCACCTTCTAACAGGGCTTCTGACCTTCAGGAAGGGCTCTGAAAACCTCTAGCACAGGGCCTGGTCTATATAACTCTACTCCCCATATCCACTTTCTGGCTTTTGTTCAACTTTAACCCTGCCCATTCCAGATACTGGCAATACACATTTGCCTGCTTTATCTAGTGTCTAACATGGTGTAGCTGTTCACAAAGTTATACATTCTTAAAGAATGCACCTTAGAGAAATTACCTTTAAGATGAAAAGACCCACTCAAGTATATGGTGTCAGATTCTTAGATAAAGAATCCCAAAAACTATCTACATATTCTTTTTTGGGTAATTTAGGCTGGATTTCAATTGCTCTAGGCAGTTCTTATACATATAGTCTATGAATGATGTCTTGTCTTTAATTTTACCAAAACTAGAGTGTGTTCTACTGTTTAGGTGCTGGTGATTGTGTAAGATTTCCTTGATACAAATAAATACAGTAAGAAGTATACTACACTGTAACATCTCCTAATTGCTTTTCAAACTTTAATACGTGACTCACCCAAGGATCTTGTAAACAGCAGATTTTAATTTAGTGTGAATCCAGGAGGCCCAAGATTCTGCATTTCTAACAAGTTCTCAATTAATGCTGCTATTCACGCACTATGGATCACACTTTCGGGAGGAACAAGGCAATAAACTACTCGGCATAGTTTTTACTTTGCTTTTATTCTTATAGTGATTCAATAAAACTATTTAAAAAGCAGAGTAATGGCAGGGCGTTAGTGGTGCATGCCTTTAATCCCAGCACTCGGGAGGCAGAGGCAGGCGGATCTCTGTGAGTTCGAGGCCAGCTTGGTCTCCAGAGCAAATGCCAGGATAGGGTCCAAAGATACACAGAGAAACCCTGTCTCAAAAAAAAAAAAAAAAAAAAAAAAAGAAAAAAAACAGAATAACATTTGAATATTACAATCTTATGTAATGTCCACAATAACCTCCTAAGACACAACTTCTATCAACACTGTACAATTTTACATGTAAACAGAAGCATACATAATGTAACTTGCCTAGTCAGCACAGCATGTTACATAACCAGATCACAGTCTGGGATTCTCACTCTTTTCGACAGCCTCTGTACCTATGATATATACTGTTTCAAATAAATGGCTAATTTACCTACTTTAGCTAATGTAGTCATGTAAACGGCACCAAGTATGAAAACCTTCAAATATTGGTTTATGCTCCCTAGTTAAGTCTCACATCCTCCCTGTAAATATTCATGGGCAGCAAAACAAAGATAAATATTTGCTTAAGTTCAAATAATGTCTAAGAAAATGAACTACTGGACACAGGGGCTGGGAACTGAACCTGGTTCCTACAGAGTGCCAAGTATTCTTAACTGCTAAGTTATCTCTCCAGTTCCAATTCAACTTTAAAAAAATTACTTTATTAAATTTATTTTATCTATTATTCAAGTTAAGTCACAAGAAAAGCAGTACATAGCTAGTTTAAGGAAGCCACTCAAATACTTGTCCAGTTTCAAACTGTCTCGAAGTGAAGTTCTATACTGCTTCACTTGTATACAGCTTCACTTCGACTGACCACCAGAAACCAGAGTTTCTCATATAATTTTACACTTCCATTATCAATGACATCTTTATTCATTCACCTGTTTTTATTTAAAATAAGCTTTAGGTTTCTGATATTTATTCTGAACACATAACATGGAATTTTGTATATTCTACCTAGAATAACACCTATTACTTATTATGATTTTTTTCAGTAAGTATAATGGCAAGATGCATACTGTTCCAAAGTCTATATAGTTACCCTGGGTTTAAGAGGTTTGACTGTGGGGATATCAGTTCCTTCAGCTCTTTGCCTGCTTGAATCAAAAGTCTTCCTTTTTTTAGTGGCAGGTTTCTTGCAAACTGTTTTTCTGTTAAAATGAAGAAATACAGCATATTTTCTTTTATACAGAAGACCACAAAACTAAAAATTTAGTCCAGCCTACACACCACATTAATAAACCAACAAGGGAAAATTGATGTTTCCTTAATTACATTTTAAAACACACACATACAAACTCTCTAACTCTCTCTGTGTCTTACTCTCTCTCTCCCCTTCCATGTTCCAGGAAACTATAGAGAAATGCTATTCTAAAATTTTATCAGAAGTCATTTAATATTCTAGTTTTCACTGTTGCTAAGAATAAGCAATAATGAAACAATTCAAAGCTATTTCAGTGAAAAATCCTTAGTAAACACAAAACATAGATGAGAAAAATCATTCAAGGAAAGATTCGGTTTTGGGGTCACAAAAGTTGCCCCACTGGTAGCTGGATTACATAGAGTAACATAAAACTAGGTGAATAACACTAACCCAAAATAACAAACAGTGGTCATTTGTGTCCTTCCTATACAGTTATCCCTTCTCTCCTACAACTCAAAACCTTTCCCTCCATTCAGAACTCAAGCTTGCTTTCTTCATCTAACACTTTTCTTGTAGTGTGTACTCATCTATATCTAAGTGGTTTTGTTAATAAATGCTAACTCATTTGTTCATTTTAAGGACACTTAAAATTATCTTAGCTAATTTCCAAATAACCTGTCCTCTATAAGGAAAAAATCTCCATTCACCATGGAAAATTTTGCTGACGTGGGTGTGCTCAATGCACCTTTGTTCCCTTTGCATTTCAGTAAGTGCTCATGAAAATGGCACTATGATGTTTGTCTGAGAAAAAGAAAATTGGCTTATTTAGTCCTGAGGCCCACTATCTATTTGTATTTGATTTAGCTTTATTCCAATAAACATTATAGACTATAAATGCTCTTAAATAAAAGGTTTGAAGATGTACTTTTATGTGTGTGAGCATGTACGCGTAAGAGTATGTGTGTGCCACATGCATGCCTGGTATCTACAGAGGCTGGAGAGGTTGCAGGATTCCTTGGAAATGAAGTTATAAAGGGTTGAAAGACACCATCAATATGGGTCCTGTAAACAACCTGGGTCTTCTGCGAGGGCAACAAATGTTCTTAACTGCTGGATCATTTCTTCATCACCTAGCATAAATTCTTTAAGTGCTTTTTTTCCCCTCTCTCTTTTGACACAGACTTACACTATAGCTCAGGATGGCCTTAAAAACTTTCAGCTATCTTCCTTCTTTGGATTTCCATGCACTAGGATTACAGATGTTAACCATTACTTTTGACTCTATTTTACTCTTAAGTAATGGAAATAATGCTAGCAGGTAACTTTCTAGTATTCTCAAATATGTCTGTTCTTGGAAAGTTAGCAGTATATGTCAAGGGTATGCGGTGCCTACTTAGAAACTATATTATACAAACTGTCGCAGTTTTAAACTTTTACATAATTTAATTAAATATTTAATTCAGGAATAAACATTTGTTTTCTTCTATAGAATCTAAGTGGTATATTTTGAAAATCCTTTGTGAAGAAACTGCTGAATGTACAAATGATTACCAAAAAGGCCACCATTATTTAGAAGGTATATTAATCAGAACATTTTCAAGCATTAATTCCACCCTTTCTTTAACAGAAGTAGACTGCAAGATACACAGTAGACTGTGCCAGAACTCCAGTTAGCAGACTGATAGTTTAAACATTAATATTAGATTACTAATAACTGCACATTTATATTTGAGATTGAAAAAGATACAAAGGCATAATTATTATTTTATATATCTGAGTAACTTTATCATCATTAATGAAACATGCTTCTATTTAATTTCTGTATGCTAATAAGATGACATTAACATATTTTTAGCTGTACTTTTATATTGTTGAAACAACAAAACCTTTGCTTTGGATGACTTAAAACTGAAGAAAACTTACTTCTCAACAATTCCTGTTCCTGGAGTACTTTTAAAGCAAATTCTCGAGATTATAGCAGTTTGTTAATACATTCTCATTTGTATTTATGAGGTGCTTTGCCTCTTAGATTTGTGTATTGTGTTTCTATCTCATAATATTCCTACAAAGCTGGAAGATTTGGCGTATAAAAGTGGAGTTCAGAAGTTTAGCCATTTTCAGATGAAACTCATCCTCAAAGATTACCCTCTGTGAATGTTCCATAACCTTCAGCCACAACAACGGTCCTCAAGCGTGAAACTACCACAAGTCTACTGGGTCCCAGTGCACACAGGCTAGACTCCATCTACTCACCAGTGCTAATGGAAAGAATGTTCTTCCACAGATCTTACAGGGCAACAATTCTCCAACCTGGACAACACTTCCATTTTCTAAAACATAAAACAATCCAATTAAAAGTCTTTCATAACTCAAGTTGCAAAATTTTAATTTTTAATGTTGTCTCTCAGGTCTTACAGGTGAGTTGGGAGCTCTTATTTAAAAGTTGTGCTTTGCCAGGCGGTGGTGCATGCCTTTAATCCCAACACTTGGGAAGCAAAGGCACGCCTATCTTTGTGAGTTCAAGATCAGCCTGGTCTACAAGAGCTAGTTCCAGGACAGGGTACAAAGCTACATAGAGAAACTGTCTCAAAAAACCAAAAAAGTTGTACTTCAAAATGAGCAAAATTATCAATTAAAATGGTCTAAGGCTTAGAGTTATCAGTGACCTAAAAGACAACAGAACACATATAACAATGATAATCCAAGGATAACTAAATTGATATTGTTGGAAACATATGGTTTTCTTTTAATTATTTATATTTACTGTAAATACAAAGAATTCAGAATCAGATTTATCTTAATAATAACTCCAAGGCATGAAGAACCATCACCAATGAGTAGTTAATCATCCTGAGCTTATCTGGGGGTGACAATCAAAGGAATCTTGTTTTATTATCAACAGACAATACAAAATATAAATACCCAAAGTTAAGATCATCTATTTATACTGTGATCAGTCTGGAAAAACTAATCAATCAATAAAAAAGAGATCATGTAGTTATGTAAACTGCATGCCATATATACTGTGAATTACTCATTTTTATACATGCATAGGATACTTACATTAAAATCATCCATTAGACTTTTACATTGAGATAGTCTGAACTCATTGGGCACAATTAATTAAATGATAGCTAGCTACAATTTGTATACTGTTAAGTAGCTTATCATACATGACACAAACTTTATTGCTGAAATGGTTTGAAACAAAAATAACTATATTTTGGGGGACACTATTCAACTGATTTATTTATTTTCTATCTAAGTATTAAATCTAAACTTACTTTCATACCAGTAATTTTCTAAAAATTGCAAACCTATAAAATTACTCACATATCTTCTGTTGAAACTTCACTGATTGTGAAAGTTCTTTATTTATGTAAAGAGAAACTAGAAAAATATTTTCTGTTCAATGTACCAAACTCCTCAAAAAAAAAAAAAATCCCACAATTTGACTCCATAAACTATGTCCTTTGATTGAGTCCACAGAAAAACAATATAGTGATCCAAAATAAACCAGTAAGAAGTTTTGTTCAAATGCAGTCACAGGGGAATGATGGTTCTCAAATTGCCTAGTATCCCACTGCTCTATTTCACTGGGGAACAGTGACTGTAATTAATCCCAGGTGGATGTGAGATGTCTGGATAGTAGTGAAGCTGGACATTAGAAAAGCAAATCTAAAAAGATTCATCCAGTGTTTTCTATCGCTAACACTGGTATAAAAATGGGTTACTCAGGAGAAACCTCACTGACGTGGACTATGAAAGCTGAAGTAGTTTCCACACAGAACTTTGTTAGGTTCATTAAGATAAGAATTTCTTTAAATTAACAAGTCACAGTAACAGAACATGCTTAATAATCTATTAGGCTTCTCAAGTTTTCATATATTCTTTCAAATATAAAGCAATGGTTTAAAAATTAAACAGTGTAAATGTTTTAAAAAAAAATCTCACAGTTCACTTGCTTAAAAGTGTATTTCTCCTTATGTACTTGTTAGGTCCATCAAAGCAAAACCTAATAATAATTAATTCCTGAGACTGCAAGTATGGCTTAGTAGAAAGTTGTTGTTTGTTTGTTTGTTTTTAAGATTTTGTTTATTTATTATGTATACAGTCTTCTGCCTACACGCTAGCATAGGGCACCAGATCTCATTCAAGGTGGTTGTGAGCCACCATGTGGTTGCCGGGAATTGAACTCAGGACCTCTGGAAGAACAGTCAGTGCTCTGAACCGCTGAGCCATCTCTCCGGCCCCACAACAACTCTTATAAAGAAAATATTTAATTGGGTGGCTTGCTTACAGTTTCAGAGGTTCTGTCCATTGCCATCATAGACGGGAGCATGGCAAGTTAAGCATTCAGAAAAAATGAATTCAATTCACTGATATGGCCTGAGTGGCTATTAGAGTACCTACTGGTTATCAGATGCATACTGGAGCACAAGGGTGAACAACACAACCATTTCTCTCATAAAGCGGGCACAATCCACTTATTTACTTCTCTATTCAATTCAGAAAAAATGAAATCACCTCTCCTGTTTTTGATAAAAAATTTAAAACTTAATGGCTGTCATCAGTTTACCATATGATAAAATCTAATTTCTGGAATTAATTCTCAAAAGTCATCAAACATGTTCAAAATGTCTTCAAGGGAAAGAAGAATCACTGTCACAAAAAAAAAAAAAAAAAAAAAAAAAAAAAAAAAAAAAAAAAACATAAAAAGGAATGTATATAGCAGCAATAATCTCAGGCTATGTATGATACACTCCTACAATCCTGGCACCCTAGAGGCCAGTTTAGCCTCCTTAGCAAGACCCTGTTTCAAGGGGCAGGGGAGAGTTAATATCTTAGTTAATTTTCTACTGCCGTAAATAGGCATTAACAAGGCAATTTATAAAGCAAAGAGTTTATTGGGGGCTTGTAGTTTTAGTGGGTAAATCCATCACTATCAGGGAGCATGAGAGCAGACATGGTGCTAGGGCAGTAGCTG